ACGCTATTCCTTCACCCAATACAAAAAGTTCGTACAATTATCGCACGCATATCCAAAACCGGCTACACATCTCAAATTCAGGTATCTTAATACCAAATTTCAGGATTTCTTCTCTTCAATTTTCCACACTACCAATACTAGCACAATTAAAACAAGTAAAAAAATTAAGTTCAGCCGGGCCGAAATTTTAATACCTTCCACCATTGGGTAGAGAAAACATTTCATATAAAACTATCGGAATTCAAGCCTATTCTGCTTTAAATTACAAATACAGGGTTGCCCATATTCGACGGACCCTTGACTCTTTGGGCCCATTCCAATCGACGAAGCTTGTCCGCAGGCAAAATTCTTTGCGTCAATTGAATTTTGTACGGGAACAAATGCAAATCAATGCGAATAATCCATTGTAAAGTGGACCGAGCCATGCCCAACTGCTGAGAACGGCGTTTTTGGGATGTTTTTGGGGACCTCTCAACACTGGCTCGTACGGCAGGGATATTCTCAGCCGATCGCCTTGGTCGACTTTTATATGTCCTCTTCGGATTAGAAAGAGCCTTACCAGTCGAAAATTTTTCGTATAAACGCTAAATGGTGTTCTTAGAAGGCGCACTTCTCACATTTTTTAATGTTTTAAAAGCACGTTGAGTTTCACAATTGACTTCTTCTGTTGAATGTAAATTTCACTCGCGTGGCGTGTATTGATTCATGGTAAAAATCAGCTTGGACTGACGCTTCAAACGCGGTATGTCATTAAGCGATGTGACATCTCTGTCAAAAGTTATGGCGTTGCCAGATGGGTCCGTCGAATATGGGCAACCCTGTACCAGTACGACCGTTTGGATAATACTGTTAAACTTTTCAAAAAACCATAAAGTAGGCGTGTTGAAATAAGCCTAGGATTATCAAAATACCGATTATGGGTGGGTATTGTTACATATGCGCTATATTAAAACGTGGACCTAAATTTTCAATGTTCTGCCGCCGGAGCTAGAACCCATTATGAACTACAAATACCAATTTTTAGACAAATCCTTTCATCAAAATATCTAATATGTGGAGATACCGTTAGATTAAGATTATACAAAAACGTGGATATATGCATACAATGTTTCGCCACCGGAACTAGAACCCATTATGACCTGCAAATACCAATTTTTAGAAAACTCCGTGGAAAAATGTGGCAAAAATCACCAAAATACCAAATATCGGGAGACACCGTTATATGGCGGCTATGCCAAAACGTGGATCGATATACCTCATTTTCAATACCAACCATCTTTGACACAATACAAATTGTTCTGCCCAATTCGGAAACTCTACGTCAAATAATATTGGCTATATCGTGATTTCAACATACCGAAAGACGGACATCGTCAAATCGGCTTAGAAGTTTATGCTGATTATGAATATACGAGTATATGCTTTATGGGGTCTACGACAAATATTTAGGGATGTTACAAACGGAATGACCAAGTTAATATAACCTCCTTTTCAAGGTGGAGGCTATAAATTAGTATAATTATAGCACGCATATCTAAAACCTGTTCCTTCTCTCAACAAGAGAAACCAACATTAACATCTATATAGAATTTCAGGATTTCAGCTCTATTCCTTAACCCAATACCAAATTAAGTACTATTAAGTACTTTTGGTATAATTATAGAACCCATTTCCAAAACCACATTCATATATCCAGGCTACACATGAACAGCAACCTTAATACCAAATTACAAATTTCAAAGACTAAACACCCAATACCAAATTGTACTAAATAAAGTGCTGAATAATACTATAATTGGTATTGAATGAAGGGATAGGGCTGGAATCCTTAAATTTAATATTGACATCTCTGTTAATATCTGGAATTGTTATATGTAGATATTTTTAGATATGTGTACTATAATAGTACAAACATTACCAAATACTACAAAATTTGGTGTCGGATGAAAGAATACAGCTGAAATCTTAGATTTGATACAGATGTCACTGTGGGTGTCTGTTGTTAAGATGTGGAGGTGGTAGTGAAAATGTATACCATAACCAGTAAAGAAAGTCCTAAAATCAGGCGGGGCCGATTTTATGATACCCTACACCACTTTGCTAATTTAGTTGAGCTCTACTTAATAATTAAAACATACACGCTATGATTATAATTTAAAATTCAAAGGATTAAATATGCCGAAGTATTTGTATCTTTTAAATTCGGACTTGTATTGCCCATTTGGTGCACAATTAATTTGAAATCGGATAAAAATATATATGGGAACTATATCCAAATCTGAACCGATCTCGATAAAATTTGGCAAAGGTATTTCTGAGCTGTATTTGATATATTTCCCTGAATATCGTTGTTACGGAGTGCATATTACGGCTGTGGGTAACAAATACAATACATCGGATGAACAATATATATGGGAGCTATGACTATATCTGAACCGATCTTCACCAAACTTGGCATACTACCTTCTAGACTAAATTCAGTCGTATGTGCCAAATTCCATCCCATTTGGACAAATATTAGACGTTTAGTGCACAATAAATGGTAAATCGGACGAAGTTATATATGGGAGCTATATCCAAATCTGAATCGATCTCGATAAAATTTAGCAAATGTATTTCTGAGCTGTATTTGATATATTTCCCCAAATATTGCTATTACAGAGTGCATATTACGGCGGCGGTGGACAAAAATAATAAATCGGATGAACAATATATATGGGAGCTATAGCTATATCTGAACCGATTTCGATAAAATGGCATACTTATTTTCAGGCCTAATTTGGGTGTATATGCAAAATTCCATACAATTCTGGCTGATATTACACGTTTGGTGCACAATAAAAGGCAAATCGGACGAAGATATATATGGGAGCTATATCTAAATTGTTACCGATTATCTCCAATTTCAATAGGGTTCGTCCTTGGGTCAAACAAATGTTGTTTGCAAAATTTCATCTCAATCGGATAATAAATGCGACCTGCATTTTGTTCACAAGAATACATGGACAGACGGACTGACATGCATAAATCAACTCAGAAAGTGATTCTATGCAGATCATCAAAAGGAACTATGGGTCAATCTTGTTTCCTTTTGCCTGTTACAAACAAATGCACAAAGACATAATACCCTGGCCACCTTGTGGTGTAGGGTATAATTATTCGAAAAGTACCAAGTGGGACTTAATTAGGTATTGTGTGAAGGAATATTGCTTGAATCCTCAAATTTGATATTGTTCAAATCTGAGATTTAGATATACAGGTGATTTTGAAAATGCGTACTGTAATTGTACTAAATGGTTAAATTTTTAAATAGGGGAAATTACAGAACTGAACTTCTGAGATTTGATATTAAGGTCACTATTGGTACCTGAGGATGAGATATGGAGATTGTTTTGAAAATGCTTACTAAAATGGTTTGAACAGTACTAAATGCTACTAAATTTGGTATTGAATATAGGGATAGAGCTGGAATCCTGAAATTTGACATGGATGTCATTATTGTTGTCTGTAGTTGAAAAAAACCTTTCATATCCAAAAACGTCATTGTTTAACCCTTACACCAAATTAACTACTTTTCGTATAAATTATTGTATGGATTTCCAAATTCACCTACAAATCTAAACGCTACACACTCCATTACGAATAAATTTTTTGAACAACCAAAGAGCATTAAATTTTTGACATACCAAAATTTTTATTTATTATAAAACTCGGTGAACTCGGAATATAATTTTCAACTGAATGAACTACAGCCAATTGTATAGGTACAGGGTTGCCCATATTCGACGGACCTTTGAGCCCTTTGGGCCCATTCCAATCGACGAGGCTTGTCTGCAGGCAACATTCTTTGCGTCAATTGAATTTTGTACGGGAACAAATGCAAATCAATGCGAATAATCCATTGTAAAGTGGACCGAGCCATGCCCAACTGCTGAGAACGGCGTTTTTGGGATTTTCTTGGGGACCTCTCAACACTGGCTCGTACGGCAGCGATATTCTCGGCCGATCGCCTTGGTCGACTTTTATATGGCCTCTTCCGATTAGAAAGAGCCTTACCAGTCGAAAATGTTTCGTATAAACGCTTAATGGTGTTCTTAGGAAGCGCACCTCTCACATTTTTTAATGTTTTAAAAGCAAGTTGAGTTTTCACAATTGACTTCTTCTGTTGAATGTAAATTTCAGAGCGCTCGCGTGGCGTGTATTGGTTCATGGTAAAAATCTGCTTGGACTGACGCTTCAAACGCGGTATGTTATTAAGCGATGTGACATCTCTGTCAAATGTTATGGCGTTGCCAGATGGGTCCGTCGAATATGGGCAACCCTCTATTTATATATGGCCAAGCCAGTTGGTCATCTCCCGAAATGGTTTCGAAGTGCTTATCTGCAGTGAAGAATAAAAACAATTGATTTGACCGAACTTAACGTCACATTTGCTCCTTATTCGTTTGTATCCATCTCTCTAATTTAAGATTCAATTAAATGACTGTCTGTCTATCCGTTGAAAAACTGTTCCCTTTGACAGCAATTTCTTTTTCTTTTCAAATACATTCATTCCATTATTGAGAATAAAAAAATCAAAGCTTCTTGAAAAATAGCATTTTCACCCTAATATGAAAAGAAGAAAACCCGACAACCAATAATGAACAAGAAAAGCCTTTTTACTATTTTTTTTATTGACAAGCTATTAATTCAGTTTTTTTTATTCCGATTCCAAAGGATCTTTGCAATGCAGAGCTACTCTCTGTGTGACCATTTACAATAAAAAATACAAATAATAATGCTCGTACTCAAAGAGCACTGAATTTTGTTTCTATGAATGACCCATTTACACTTTGGGAGAAAAGAAAAATGAAAGAAACACGACATTTTGACCTGACACAACCACCCACACACACACCCCTACAGACAAAGCAGAACTTTTGCATAGAATCATAAATAATAAATGAAAAATGAGATTTCCTACTGTTTATTATGTTTGCTCACAATTTCATGCCACTTACCATCATTGTTGTGCTGCTCATAGTACTTTTTCTCCAATTGACCTAGTTGGACATCACAGCTTACTGCCTTCTTGCCAACGCCTCCAACACCGCCGCCGCCACCACCCCCACTAACGCTGATAGATTCCATCAAAGGTGAGTTGCCGGTACCCATGCTATCACCTCCATTTCCTCCTACACCTCCACCACCACCACCCCCACTGCCACCATTTTGTTTTAGCAGCTCTGTGTATTTGTCTTTAATTATGGAACTGCCCCCATTAATGGTTGTCTGCTGATGTTTTTTATATTTCAGGGTATCGCTGCTATTGCTGCCTCCATTATCAACCACCAGCCCATTGACAACACCCAACATGACGTCTGTATTACCAGCCACGGTCGTGGTACCATGATTGGCCACAACCGTGCCATGTGATGTCAGCGGATCATTGCCACTTAAGTCGAGATGGTGATGCCGATGATGCGCTGCCGTCGAGGCAATGAAACGTTTGTAGATGCAACAGGTAACCATGGCCAGGAACACGGACACACTCAAAAGACCCAAAGCCATTAACGAGATGACTGCAGCCAAATTGCCCTGCAACAGCTCGCGACCACTGGGCTTCTCCACGAGCAAAGTCATTTGAACGGAATCCTTACCACCGGCATTCTCGGCAATGCAAGTGTAGGTGCCCTCATCGGTTTTGTCCGCGCCCAATATGGTGAGCCGTGATATGTAAACATTGCGACCGAATTCCTTTTCCTTTGATTGGTCATCCTCAATGATTTGTATGAAAATTCGCTGCGGCTGCGGCTGCTGCAGCTGTGGTGTTGCCTGACCAGAACTAGTACTGCGATATATTTGCTTATTATAGTCCCAGGCAATGTGGGTATTGGCCGAGGCATGAACACGGCACACGAGGGTGACATTTTCCTTGGAGGTGGTGATGGAAGCTCCTTTGGCGGGAAAAATAATTCGTGGTTTGCATGCAAACGCTTCCGGCTGATCTTCTATCCAGAGCATGCCCCTCAGCTGGGCTGGATAATAACAGGCAGTGGGTGGTGTATAGAGATTTCGACGCAACACAAAATCACGAAATATTTGCAATTCACAGGTGCAATTCCAGGGATTGCCATCCAATGACAGGGCGGTCAAACGTTTGACATTTTCGAAACTTTCTTTGCGCAAGAAATTCAAGCGATTATTGTTCAAATAGATTTGTGAAAGCAGGGGAACATTTACGAAAACCTGGTTGGCAATTTTAACCAAGCGATTATCCTTTAGCTCGATTTTGTGAAGATATTTGAGATTTTGAAAAATGCCATCACCCAAGGCTTCCAGCAGATTGCCGTTGAGGACAATGGCTCGTACCTTAACTAAACGGGCAAAGAGGTTGGCCTGCAGCAGCTTCAGCAAATTATTGGACAAATCCAGTTCTATGAGTATTTCCAACTGGGTAAACGTCCGTGGATCGATGTGCTGCAGCGAGCTATTGCGTATATACAACTTGTGCAGATTCGTCAAATCGGCCGTTAGAAAGGCATTTTCCTCCAAATAAACGATGCGATTAAAGGATAAATCCAAAACCTGAACCTCGTTACTCAGATTTTCCGGTACCGAAGACAAGGTGAGATTTTTACAATCAGCCGTTTTCTTACCCGAATTCCACTTGCAATGGCAGTCACCACAGTCCATTAGCCAGTCGGCAGAGCTGAGAACGGGCATTTCACAGAGCAGTGTTAGCAGCAGTAATCTCCAAAACCAGGCCAGACTATAGTTGTGGTTGTAGTGACGCAAAAATGTTTTGGGAAATAGACGACTCTTGCTGCTGCTGCTGCCACCGGTTACGCTTGTTTGACGATTATGTGAAATGTCCTTAAAAGTATCCGTTTCCGTTTGCTCTGAAGACTTCGTTAATGTGGAAGTTGGAAGTAGAGTGGTGGTGGAGGTGTAGGTGGTTAGTGGTGGTGCTTGTGGCCTGGTCTTTTGCTCAAGTGTACTTCTAAGAAAAGCTAGTCTCCTTTCTCTTCCCTCCGAACCCGAGCTGCCAGATGCTTCAGCACTTGACGTGTTATTCTGATACTTGAGGTTTCTGGAACGTTGGTGAAATGTTTGTGGCTTCGTTTTCTTCTTCTTCTTGGGATTGCTTGTCGTTGTCGGCTGCTGCTGTTGCTGTTGTTGTCGCTTAAGCTGTTTTTTATTGCGCTTGTTTTTCATGTTTTTAAACTTGCGGCGCCTTTATCTCTTTCCTGCTGACATCAGTCACGTTGATGTTGATTTTGGCCACCGTTGCCTGCTCCGGAGTCGCTGCTGTGGCAGTTTGCTGAAACGTTTTAGCAATACGCTTCGTAATAATGCTGGTGGTCCTAATAACTCTGTTACACTTATTTCTCGCTGTCTTTGCATTAAAATAATTTGTTGCTTTTTTCCAAGCAAATGATAATGTTGTTTTTGAAGTTGTTATTGTTTTTGTGGCATATATATATATATACTTGTATATTTTTTTTTTTTTTTTGGTTAAATCGTTTCGTCTCCGTTGCAAATGTACTGTTGCTATTATTTTGTTAGCAAAATATTTTGTTTGTTTTGCCACAAGCCCGGTTGCACTTGACTTGTGGTAACGTTAAAGTTGGCACAGTGACAGCTGGTCAGAGTGGTACATTAAACCATGCTGAAAATAAATTAAAATGGAAAGGGTTAATAGATTATCCAGTTCTTTTTATTTCTTTTTATAGTTTAAAACAATTCATATTTTTATACCCTACAACACTATGTGTTATAAGTTTGATTGGGCCAGAAATTATGTAACACCACGAAATGTTGGTTTCCCACATAGGAAAGTATATACGGATCTTCCTATCTCGCCGAGCTGAGTCGATCTAGCTATGTATGTCCGTCCGTCAGTCCGTCTGTCCGTGTTAATTTGTAATCACTCTACAGGTCGCAATTATGGCCCGATCTTCACGAAATTTAGAATGGAGGTGGGGATAGAGCCAGAATAGAACCCTATTTCTTTTGGACATAATTGCATAATATTTAGGGGTTGAAATGGACCGAAAAATGAAAAAATTTCTGATTTTGCAGTTGCTCTATAGGGCCAATCGACGTGGAAGTTAGCATGCGGCTTGAGCTTAGGGCTGGGCAGAAGCCTTCCAATTTTGACGATCATCGGGCAATATTTAGTGGGTGAAAAAGGCCACAATATTTTTGTTAAATAAAAGTCAAATTTTCCATTAATCCGCGGATATTTTTAATCCCGGCGAAATCACAAATAGACGAACAGGTCAATTCTGACCGCTACGTAGATGCCGATATTGAATATATCGGTTATATGTAGCGAAATATATACAATGTGAATATACAAAGGAAAAGGATGTTAGTTAGAATGCATTTATCTCAAGAATGGCTGGACCGATTTTGACAAATTTTGTCAATTCAGAATGCCCTCTTGGCATAAAATCTAAAAAAATCGCAGAAAAATATGCCAATAATGATGTTAATATATATTTTGTAGTATTTTGTGAAATATTTTTTTTTTCATATTTTTTATCGCATGCGATTTTTTCAATTTGACTTTTAATATTTTGTAATATTTTTACCTTACAACACAGGTTGGAGATATTATATAAATATTGCAAAGGGCTATTGTTTTCAAAGATGTCCGCAATATAATGCAATATGAAATGGACCAACAACTAAAAATTTTCCTGATTTTGCAGCCGTTATAAAGGTCACAAATAGAAACCAAAGGACGCGAAATCTCGCATAAAGTTAGAGTTTAGGACAGCGGGTACAATGGACCACTAATTTTGTGTGAAAAATACCAGCATTACTTACAGCCGATATCCGAAATACACAAAAGGCGAACTTCTGGCTTTTTATGCTGATTTCGTTGACGAATATAGCCAAATATCGGGGGCAAATGTCCCTAGTCAAGATCCTAATTTCAAAAGCGAAATCTTCCAATATGGATTTGGACATAAGGGAGCTTCTAACATATTGTAGTGTGGTAGGGTATAACATAGTCGGCCCCGCACGACTATAGCCTTTGCTTACTTGTTTTCGATTCTAGTCGAGTTGTTTATGTTTCTATTCTAGACGAGTGCGATAAGAATTAATATACGGTGATTCTGAACGACTGTTTATAATCTTGCACATGTACAATTACTTAGAATAGTTTTTCTGACACAAATTTTACAACTTTTGATCTATTTTAATAACTAACTAATATCCGCTACTATAGTAGTATATAGTGATAGTTGGGCTAATGGCACCCATCATAGTTTACCCGTCTTTTAATTTAGTACTATTCTGTACTGAACGCACGCATGAAATTCAAGTTTTCACGTCTCCTCCGTATTGCAACCATTTACACTAATTTTAATCCTAACAAGTAAAACAGAATTTTGAATCAAATGAAAAATTAAAAAAAATATATTGCAAATGCCACTATAATTTTAAGAATGCCGAATATCAGGTATTACAGTTATATGAGGCGTATACGCAACCGTGGACTTCTACAGACAAGTGTCTGCCGCAAAAGCTGGTGCCTATTATGAACTGCAAATATCAAGTTTGAAATAACTTTGTTGAAAAATTTTGTTAAAATCATAAAAATACTGAATATTAAGAGGTACCGCTATATGGGGGCTACACGAAGTGTATTTGTATGGACAATTTTCTGTCGTAGGAAGCAGTACCCACTACGAACTCGAAATTCCGAAAAATGTCGAATATGGGAGGTACAGGCATATGTGAGCTTTACGAAGATGTGGACCTGTAGAAGAAACTTCCTGTCATGGCAGATAGTACCCAATGGAAACTTCAAAACCATTTGAAATTATTTCGGTGAATAGCGTGACACAAATTATCAAAATATCGAATATCTAGTTGTACAGATATATATCATATAAATATGAACTTCTAGAGCCAATTATCTGCCAGAGAATGTGATGGCTATTATGATCTCCAAGCACCAAGTTTGAGATAATTCTGTTGAAAAAAAATTAGCAAAACAAGTAAGCAAAGGCTAACGTATGATACCCTACAATGGTAAAGTTTCTGCAGATCTGAAACCCTTTCGACTAGAATTCAAATTCCCCTAAAAAGATCCCCACATCTACTCCTTAATTGCCTTTGGACCTAATTTCTTCTCTTTTCGAAAAGTCGATAATCAATATTTTCAAAAAAAAAAAAACCAGTAAGGAAAGCTCAAAAGTCGGGCGGGGCCGACTATATGATACCCTACACCACTATGCATATTTAGTAGAGCTCTCGTAAAAAGGTTTATACAGGGCATTTCAGAGCTCTATGAGATATTTGGTACAAAATCAAAATCTATTTAATTCTATCGTGCATTTTACGAACTATAGCTATCTCTGAACCGGGTTTCTCCAAATTTGACGTATTAGCTTCTAGACTGAATTCGGTCTTATGTCCGAAAAATATCAATTTAAAAAACATATATATGGGAGCTATAGCTATATCTGAACCGATTTTTAATAAAATTGGTGTACTTGATTATAGGCTGGTTTCGGTTGAATTTGCCAAAATTCATGCCATTTGGGCTGATATTGGCCATTTGATGCACAATTAACACGAAATCGGATGAAGATATATATGGGAGGCATTTCCAAATCGGAACAGATTTTAATACAATTAAAATCAACTATTTTTGGGCTTCATCTGATATCTGGTACCAAATATCATTCCTGTGGAGTGCATATTACGAATGTGAGGGACTTAAAGACCAAATCGGATGAAAGATATATATGGGAGCTATAGCTATATCTGAACCGATTTTTACTAAAATTGGTGTACTTGCTTCTAAGCTGGTTTCGGTCGGATTTGCCAAAATTGATGCTATTACGGCCATTTGGTGGTCAATCACCCGAAATCGGATGAAGATATATATGGGAGCTATATCCAAATCTGAACCGATTTCGATAAAATTGCAAACAGCTATTTCTGGGCTGTATCTTATATCTGGTACCAAATATCATTCTTGTGGAGTGCATATTACGAATGTGAGAGGCTTAAACACCAAATCGGATAAAACATATATATGGGAGCTATAGCTGTTTCTGAACCGATTTTCTCCAAATTTGTTGTATTTGCTTTAAGGCTAATCTCGGTCACATGTGCCAATTTTTTTTCGGGTCATTTGGGCTGATATTGGCCATTTGATGCACAATTAACACGAAATCGGATGAAGATATATATGGGAGCTATATCCAAATCTGAACCGATTTCGATAAAATTTAAAACACCTATTTCTGTGCTCCATCTAATACCTGGTACCAAATATCACGGTTGTGGAGTGCATAGTAAGAATGTGACGGACTTAAAGATGAAATCGGATGAAAGATATATATGGGAGCTATAGCTATATCTGAACCGATTTTCTCCAAATTTGATATACTTGCTTCTAGGCCGAACTCGGTTAGGTGTGCCAAAATTCAGGTAATTTGGACTGATAGTGGACATTTGGTGCACATTTAACCCGAAATCGGATGAAGATATATATGGGAGCTATATCTAAATTTGATCCGATTCTCACCAATTTCAATAGGGTTCGTCCTTGGGCCAAAAAAATATTGTTTGGAAAATTTTATGTCAATCGGATAATAAATGCGACCTGCATTTTGTTCACAAGAATACATGGACAGACGGACGGACGGACGGACGGACGGACGGACGGACAGACGGACGGACATGCATAAATCGACTCAGAAAGTGATTCTATGAAGGTTCTCAAAAGTAACTATGGGTCTATCTCGTATCCTTCTCCATGTTACAAACAAATGCACAAAGACATAATACCCTTACCACTATGTGGTGTAGGGTATAAAAAACCAGTAAGGAAAGCTCAAAAGTCGGGCGGGGCCGACTATATGATACCCTACACCACTATGCATATTTAGTAGAGCTCTCGTAAAAAGGTTTATACAGGGCATTTCAGAGCTCTATGAGATATTTGGTACAAAATCAAAATCTATCTAATTCTATCGTGCATTTTACGAACTATAGCTATCTCTGAACCGGGTTTCTCCAAATTTTACGTATTAGCTTCCAGACTGAATTCGGTCTTATTTACGAAAATGCAGGTGATTTGGGCTGATATTGACCATTTAGTGCACATTTAACCCGAAATCGGATGAAGACATATATGGGAGCTATATCCACATCTGAACCGATTTCGATAAAGTTTAAAACAGCTATTCCTGTGCTCCATCTAATACCTGGTACCAAATATCACGGTTGTGGAGTGAATATTACGAATGTATGGGACTAAAACACTAAATCGGATGAAACATATATATGATTGCTATATCTATATCTGAACCGATTTTCACTAAATTTGATATACTTGCTTCTAGGCTGAATTTGGTCCGATGTACTAAAATTCAGTCCATTTGGACTTATATCGGCCATTTGGTGCACAATTAACCCGAAATCGGATGAAGACATATATGGGAGCTATATCCACATCTGAACCGATTTCGATAAAGTTTAAAACAGCTATTCCTGTGCTCCATCTAATACCTGGTACCAAATATCACGGTTGTGGAGTGAATATTACGAATGTATGGGACTAAAACACTAAATCGGATGAAACATATATATGGTTGCTATATCTATATCTGAACCGATTTTCACTAAATTTGATAT